TGGATTTGGTTTGCTTTTCTAGTTCATTAAAATGCATCATCAGGTTATTTATTTGAAGTTATTCTTCTTTTTAGATGTAGGCACTTATAGCTATAAATTTCCCTCTTAGTAATGCTTTCACTATATACCATAGGTTTTGGTATGTTGTGTTTCTGTTATCATTTGTGTCAAGAAATTTTTAAATTTCTGTAACTTCTTCATTAACATATTGATCATTCAGAAGCACATTATTTAATTTCCATGTGTTTATATAGGGTCCCAAATTCCTCTTGTTATTGATTTGTACTTTTATTCCATTGTGATCAGAGAAGATGCTCAACATTATTTCAATTTTTTTGAATGTTTTAAGGTTTGTTTTGTGACCTACTGTATGGTATCCTTGACAATGATCCATGTGCTGAAGAGAAGAATGTGTATTCTGTAGCTGTTAAGTAAAATGTTCTGTAAATACCTATTAAGTTCATTTATGCTATAGTGCAGATTAAGTCCAATGTTTCCATATTGATTTCTGTCTGGGAGATCTGTCAAATGCTGGAAGTGGGGTGTTGAAGTCTCCAGCTATTATTGTACTGGAGTCTATCTCTCTCTTTAGCTCTAACAATAATATTATCTGGGTGCTCTGGTATTGGGTGCACATGTAGTTACAATTGTTACATACTCTTGCTGAATCGACCCCTTTATCATTACATAATAACCTTCTTTGTATCTCCTTACAGTTTTTGTCTTCAAACCTATGTTTTCTGATGTAAGTATAGTGATTCCTGCTCTTTTTTGGTTTCCATTGGTATGATAAATAGTTTTCCGTCCCTTTATTTTCAGTCTATGTATATCTTTATAAGTGAAGTGTATTTTTTGCTGGAAATGGAACATTAGATCTTGTTTTTTCATCTATTCAGCCATTCTATGTCTTTTGATTGGAGCGCTTAGTCCATTTATATTCAACGTTATTATTGATAAGTAGAGACTTATTCCTCCCATTTCGTTATTTATTTTCTGGTTGTTTTGTGGTCTTCTCTTCCTTCTTTCTTTCCTTCCTGTCTTCCTTTTAGTGAAGGTAATTTTCTCTGGAGATATACTTTAATTTCTTGCTTTTTATTTTTTGTTTTTCCTTTGTATGTTTTTTGATTTAAGACTACCATGATGTTGGCAAATACTATCATATGACCCATTATGTTAAACTGATGATCATTTAACACTGATTGCATGTGCAAACAAACACATCCACAAAAAGAAAACTCATAAAATCCTTACACTTTAATTTTACATCTCTACTTTTTAACATTTTGTTTCTCTTTATGTTTTGTTGCATTATCTATATCTTGAAAAGTTGTAGTTATTATTTTTGATTGGTTCATTTAACCTTTCTACTTGAGTAGTTTATACATCACAATTAAAGTGTTGTATTATTATGTGCTTTTCTGTGTGCTTAATATTACCAATGAGTTTTGTGCCTTTAGATTATTTCTTCTTGTTCATTAACATCCTTCTCTTTCAGATTGAAGAACTCCCTTTGGCACTTCTTGTAGAATAGGTCTGGTGTTGATGAAATCCCTCAGTTTTTGTTTGTCTGGGAAGGTTTTTGTTTTTCCTTCACTCTTGAAGAACATTTTTGGTAGATATTTTTTTCTAGGGTAAAAGTTTTGTGTGTTTTTTTTCCCTCAGCACTTTAAACATGTCCTGCCACTCTCTCCATGTCTGTACAGTTTCCACAATAAAGTCTGCTGCCAGATGTATTGGCACTCCATTGTATGTTGTTTCTTTTATCTTACTGCTTTCAGAATCCTTTCTTTCTCCTTGACCTTTGGGAGTTTGATTATTAAATGCCTTGAGATAGTCTTTCTTGGCTTAAATCTGTTTGGTGTTCTATAGCCTTCTTGTACCTGAAGGTTGATAACTTTCTCTAGGTTTGGGAAGTTCTCTGATAATATCCCTTAGAATAAACTTTTTGCACCTATCTCTTTCTTTACCTCCTCTAGGCCAATAACTCTTAGGTTTGTCCCATTCAGGTTGTTTTCTAGATCTTGAAGGCATGTTTCTTCATTTTTATTCTTTTTTCTTTTGTCTCCTCTGACTGTGTATTTTCAAATAGCCTGTCTTCAAGTTCTCTAATTCTTTCTTCTGCTTGATCAATTCTGCTACTAAAAGACTCTGATGTATTCTTCAGCATGCCAATTGTATTCTTCAGCATGTCAACTGCATTCTTCAACTCTAGAATTTCTGCTTAATTCTTTTAAACTATTTCAATCTCTTTGTTAAATATATCTGATAAAATTCTGAATTCCTTCTCTGTGTTATCTTGAATTTCTTTGAGTTTCCTCAAAACCGCTATTTTAAATTCTCTGTCTGAAAGGGTTTCTCTAGAATGGGTCTCTAGTACCTTATTTAGTTCATTTGGTGAGATCATATTTTTTTGGATGGTGTTGATGCCTTGTAGATGTTCACTGGTGTCTGGGCATTGAAGAATTAGGTATTTATCGTCGGTTTCACAGTCTGGGCTTATTTGTGTCTGTCCTTCTTGGGAAGGCTTTCCAGGTATTTGAAAGGACTTGAGCCCCAAACCCAATAACACTGCCATTTTTTTTTGCAGAGTAGGAGAGGTATAGCCTTGTTGGTTTTGGATAAGATCTGAAGGAATTCTCTGCATTACCAGGCAGAGACTCTTGTTCTTTTCCCTTACTTTCTCCCAAACCAATCTCTATCTCTGTGCTGAGTCACCTGAAACTAGGCGTGTGGTAATGCAAGAATCCCTAGTTCACTGGCTCACTGAGACTGCTCTGGGTCAGACCTGAAGCCAGTGCAGCACTGGGTCTTGTCCAAGGCTCCTCCCTTCAGGACAGCAAGTTCCTCCAGGCTCCAGGCATGTTCAGCGATGATGTTTGGGAGCCAGAGATTAGAGTCAAAAACCTCAGCAGTAACCTGACATTCTATTATATTGCAGCTAAACTGGCACTCATACCACAGTACAAAGTCCCTCCTGCTATTCCCTCCTCTTTCCACAGGCAGAGGAACCTCTCCCTGTGACCACCAGCACCTCTGGTCCTTGGGGGTTCTTCTAGGCCACCACTTATATTCATTTAAAGCCCAAGGGCTCTTCTGTCAGCTTGTGGTGAATGCTTCCAGGCCTGGGACTCAAACTTCAGGGCAGTGGGCTCCTCTTTGGCCCAGGGCAGGTCCAGAAATGCTGTCCAAGAGCCTAGGCCTGGACTTGGGGGCCCCAAGTGCTTGCTTGTTGCTCTACCCTACCATGGCCAAGCTGGTATCTAAGGTGCAAGACAAAATCCCCTTTACTTTTTTCTCTGCTTTTCTCAAACAAAAGCAGTCTTTCACCATAGCCACCATGACTGGGAATGTGCTGGGTCTCACCTGAAGCCAGCATATATCAGAGTTCAAGGCCCATGGCATAATCCCTGGATATCACTGGTGGTTATTCAGGGCCCCAGGCTCTCTTTAGTCAGCAGATGACGAATCCTGCAGGGGCTGGGTTCTTCCCTTCAAGGCAGTGGATTCCCTTTTGGCTCAGGGCGTGTCTAGAAATGTCCAGGAGCTAGGACCTGGAATGGGGTCCTCATGATTCTGCCCTGTGCCATATCCTACTGTGGCTGAGGTGGTATTCAAGATACAAGACAAAGTCTTCTTTGCTTTTTTCTCTCCTCTCCTCAATCAGATAGAAAAACAAAAACAAACAAACAAAAACCTACTTCTGTTGCTGCAGGCTGTACTGCCTGGGGTTGGGGGAGGGATGATTTCAATACCCCCTTTGCCATGTCAGCTGATGTCTTCCTAGGTCACATGCCACCCTAGTTCACTGGCTCTAAGCTCAGCTTAGCACTAGGAGCTGTCTTTCAAGTTTATCCAGGACTCCAGTGCACTTCAGCTCACAGTGGCGAGGCTTGCTGAGAAACTCAAGTTTCAATAGCAGGGATGGGTGATTCCCCTCTGGCCAGGGCTGGGCCAAATGCTCCCACCATGCATGGGTGCTGGTGGAGCCCAGCATGGCTTTATTCTCAGCTATGACAGGGCAGCATGGAGTTCAATGTAAAGTCCCTCAGTCACTGCACTCTCCCTCCCCAAAGTGCAAAGATTATCTCTGCTGCCAGGGGATGGGAGAGGTGTGGCATCAGCAATTCAAGACTGTTCCATCTTCCTTAATACCTCTTTTAATGATATGAGGTTAAAACCAGGAGCTGTGATTGCTCACCTGATTTTTGATTCTTGTGATGGTGCTCTTTCGTGTGCAGATAGTTGTTAAAATCTGATATTCCAGCAGAGGGGACGAATGGTGTAGGCTTCTATTCTACCACCTTGCTCCACCCGTCTCAAGTTTAAATATGAGACTAGATGAGTGTTCCTCCCCAAATGTTGTTGTGACCATAGTTTCTAAACAAAATTGGGAGTATGTGGTTTAACAATGAGACAACAGATTTGAAATCTATGAGAGTCTCAAAAAGTTCCAAACTTAGGAGAAACTTCTCCATACTCCTGTGGGATTGGTTACTCCACACTCACTCCAGATAGGGTTGCTATGATGCAAGCAAGTCATGGTAAGATATCTGGAGGTAAAATAAATTCATCCTTCATGCTGCATGTAAACAGAAAAAGAGGAGACACAGTGAGCAAAAGGAAAGACATGGGATATGTGTCCAGTTAAAGAGTAATCTAAGTCCCCAAGTTCAAAACCAGGGAATTCTGGCTGAGTGGTAACATGATTATGTCACAAATTTTAACAAAACCTATAACCCATTAGGCCTCAATTACCATAAATAATTTAGTCCAGCAGTCTGTAGGAATAAACACCAAGACACATATTTTACTGCCTTTTTCACTTGACACTTTAAATAGCACTAAGGGAAACATGAGATCAATTGTAAAGAAATGTGGCCCAGGTTGAATAGCCAAATACTCATGTGACTCCTTTTAGGAAAACCTGATACTTGAATATGCTTCCATCTAGAAAAACTAATAGTTTAGGAGTAATTTTTAATACAGCCTATCTTCTTAAAAACAATTCAATAGAGGGTTTATTTAAAAGATGAGCCATGAAAATGAACTGAAACAAAGGAAACATTGGTTCCATGAAATCTCTAATTTTCAAATTTCATTTGTATCAACTGGGATGCCTTCACTGCAAGCAAAAGGGACTTTTCTCACAGGCACAAACAGTAAGACAACGTTTTCCATCTGTCAAGAGGACATTTAGGGTGCCGTGGGGGCTCTGGGCTGAGTGATTCAGCCACTGGCGATGCTGGCAGGAACAGTCCTCCCTCCCTCTGCTTGGCCATCCTCAGTGGCTGCATCTGCTCCTCTTGTAGTTGTGAGATGGTTTCAGGAGTTCTGGGTCTCAAACCCAGACATTTGACATCCAGGGAACAGGACAGAAACAGACCATCCCTTCACAAGATTCCGTAAGAATGAGGGAAGCTTTTCCAGAGGGCTCCACAGCCATCTGTTTTTGACATGTTGGTCAGCAGTGGGTCAGCTCCCACCCCCGCCCATTGCCAGGACTTCAAGACTACAAGATTGGCACAGCCTGGACTAGCCACAGGAAGGGGTGGAGTTGTGAGTTGTGGCCTCTGGGTCACCTAGGAAATGAGTGGATACCTGAACAAAACCAAAGTTTGACCAGGAATCTACTCTAGTTACGTTGTTCTAGCTTAACATTTTCTGAAAACACATGAATTCAGTTCTGGCTTGAATTGATTGGCTAAGAATTTAAAACACTTTTAAATTCAGATGAGAGTGTCAAGGTCAGATGAATTTAGGGCCTAGCAATTAGAGCAATTTTTTCCAGATGTTACGTCAGTTTTAGTCTGCTGTTTCAAATGTGTGGTAATTTAATTGTAGACATGCTGAACACACAACTTTTGAGCGTCAATGTATCACGAAAATAAGGATTACTTATGTTTGCTTTGGAACATATTCTGACAGAAAAATATAGATGTACTCCAATGGTAGTACTGAGAGGTGTTTTGGAAGTCAAATTTCTGTTGCTTCTTATAAAGTATTAAAACGTCATTTTAAATATGCCATTCTTTAATCTATATCTGATATTAAAATTTCCATAAAGACATGATAATCAAATTTTATAGGTAACTGAAGAATACAATTAATACAATTCTAAACACGTAAAAATTTAGTTTGATTGATATCAAATATGGAAAAAAGAAAAGTTGAACTGCTTGTGTCTAAACATATTTTGGGAATAATCCTCATAAAAAATTCAACCTTCTCAAAAGAGCTTATTTTAACCTAATTTGGTGAACATAGGTTTATATGATAATGTTACGTTGTTTATCTTGAGGTATTTTGGGATGTGACCAGTTTTAGCCAACTCTCAAATAAAAATTAGTCCAAATAGCATTTCTGGCAGTTTCCGAAATTGTTAAGCTGATTTGTCCTGCTGTGGCTTGTCATGATGACCATGACAACTGAGGCAGGTCAAATGGCTTCTTTATATTCCATTTTAGTTATGAAAGACGTTATTTGGCCAGATGTTTCTAGAACCCAAAATTAGACCTGAAGAACACTTCCACCATCCTCCGTTGTTGCTCCCCTCATTCCATCTTTCCTTCTTTTTTTTTTTGTCCATTTCTCTGGCAAAGGGACTTCTGCTGCTGATCCTGCAATATTCTGAAAGGCTGATTTGCTGCTATGCCTGTGGAAAAACAACAATTTTATGTGAATTCTCATCTGTAACCCATGGGTGATATTCAAATTGTTCCTATCTGAGAAACTCTAAGGAGCTGGCCTTTCTCTAACAAGTCCTTTGGTGCAGTGGGAAGGGATGCTGAGGTTTTGCAGCCTCATGCTGCTGTGTGGGTTGACTCCAGTGGGCCTCTGCTGTGGTGCCCAGGACAACCGTGTCAGCATCACCTGGGAACACACTAGAAATGAAAGTCCTGGGGCTGCCCAAGAGCCATCTGGGCCTGGCCCACCCATCTATCTGCTAAGGAGTCTTCAAGGGGATCCTGATGCCTTCTCAAATTTGAGAACCAATGGTTTCGATTTTTTTTTATTATTTCTCCCCTCAAAGAGCTAAAATTTGATAATTGTGAAAAACGGGTCTATATTGATGGGGTGTGTGTGTGTGTGTGTGTGTGTGAGAGAGAGAGAGAGAGAGAGAGAGACAGAAAGAAGGGTGGGGGTTTAAGGTTTACAGGGAAAATTGTGAATTCCCCCCTGCTATAACCAACAATATCCTCAGTGTTTATAACCTAGCACTGCAGATTCCCGGCCTTGCAGTGTGATGGCAGTACTAGAAGCCTGGACCCAGGAGGGGTACACGTTCTGCTACTCATGAATAAGTCACTGCAGAAGCTCCCTGGACTGAAGCTCAGTCCCAAGCCAGCACTGAATGGACTGAATGGCCTCTGCCTGGAAGTTTTCAGCAATGTGCACTATGATTTAGGATAATAGAGTTTTGTTCATTTAACCAATAACAAGCGTGTGCCTGTTCTATGAGATGCATCATGCAAGATATCAGGACCTTTACAATTATAAACAATCTTTGACTCAAGGGGTGGATACATGTGGTGTGGGGGCCAGCCGAATGGTGCACTCACTATAGCAGAGTGGTCCTCCCTAAGATCACTGAGCTGAAAAAAAGAGTTTCCCCGAGACCAGGAGGGTCTGATCCCATGCTCATTCTGCAGTGAGAAGTTTCCTGGGATATAAAGAATGGATTCGAGTATGGGAGGAGATACAGAAGAAGGTCATTTGCTTTTTATAACATAGGTAATCCCTGTAAACCAGCACCCCTCCAGAGAGTCATGGGACCTAATGGCTTTCTATGCTCAAGAATTCAAGGGGTGTCTCTCCACCTTTATAAGCTGATGTGGGTTTATGCAAAAATAATAGTTTTAAATTAAATCCTCTAATAGTTTTCCTCCATAAAATTCCATTGACTATAGGAAAATTAAAAAAAAAAAACTCATAAGCATAGGCCTGAAACCTTCTAGAAAGTGTGTGGAGCTCAGATGTGAGGGGCAATGTGATATTACGCAAAACTCCTCAAAGTTTCTGTTTTTTCTGAATGCCTTTGGGGTGTTCTTCTAAAGAGCAGCTGAGTGTGAACAAGTTCTGTCTGGCTACAGAGTTGCCCTGCGATCCAGGGCAAGTGGACAGAGGCTCTGACTACTCAGAGACGGGACTGAGAAGCGCATGCAATGTTTTCATGGGGCCATTTTGATTTGGTTATTCTCAGATCTTGATATCTTGATACCTTGAAACACAATTAAACGTTACGGTTCTTTAAATTATCAAATATTAAGTACAGAAGATGACCTTCAGCCCATTCCCAAGAAACCATAGGAAGACCCCCTATGAAATCTACAGATGTGGAGCCAGTGAGAAGGTAGATTAAGCACTATATGTGTGGAAGTTTCCCCCAGACTCTAACTATATCCTCCTGAGGGAGTTTCCACGACTGTTAGAAAACCAATAAAAAGAGCATTAAAACACTGTCATTTTATAATAAATCATTATAAATCATGCCTTCTCAAAGCAGCTGATACCCAAAATGTTGTTGTTATTTTTTCCCCCTCTTGCACCATTGTAGAACATTGTAGCTTAGGAGAGACGGTGGCTCCATGGAGTGATTCCCAGAGAAAGAGGCTGGTCACGAGAAGAGCAATTGCCCAAGTGTGGGTGAGTGGCCTTGTCCCTGAACCGTACCAGGTCAGAGTTACCTCTGGGAGGACTGCAACAATTTTTTGGCCCTTTAGGGCTAGCTGAGTTGAAAACGACCCTGTTGGCCCAGCCTGGTGGTAATCCATCAAGCTCTGAACACACACCTGCTGAAAGAGGTGTGAACTAAGTGGCATGCATCATGTTGAGGTCAATGAACCCCAATAGTCAAGAGAGACTGAGCAGGAGAGAGAGCAAGTGTGAGTGCAGACACAAGACAGGTGAAGTGACGCCCCAGCCCCTTAACTCCACAAAGGCAAAGGGACTGCCTGGCTGGCCCAGGACAGACAGAGATGTAGGCAAAAGTGTTAAACACCTAAAGAGACTTAGATTTACGTGACTGGATTCAAAGCTTAGGTCTGTATAGACCTCAGACTGGAGCAGCCACTGATGTGTTCATCTAAGAAATGGCCATTTCCACTTGCCCCATTCCTTTCCCAAGCAAGATCTATGGGCAGGAGAGAGTGCCTGGAAAGACATTTTAAAGCATGGCACAGATGTTAAGCTTGATCTTCAGAACAACTGGATCTATTTTTGCCTGACTAATTGTCACCAGAAGTGTTTCCTAAGATGTCCTCAATAACAAGGAAAAAGGCCTCAAGGGCATCTGGTGAGTTTTCAAATGGAACCTCCTGCTGCCTGGCAAGTTTTCCTGCTAATGCCAATCCATGATCTTCCTGTGGTGGAAAGACAAAAGCTAAACAATGATTCAGCTCAACAGCAGCGCAGACATTTACTTGGTGTGGACTGTCTGCCAGGCAGTATCTGGTTGCTAATATTCATGAGGCAGTTTTGGCCTGTCCCCATCCCCAGCCTGTTTACCTCTTCTGTAAAATGGAGATAAAACAACTTACACCCTGTCACAGTCCATTTGGCCTGCTATCACAATTTACCACCTTCTGAGCAGCTTGTAAACAACAGAAATGTGTTGCTCACAGTCCTGGATGCTGGGACGTCCAAGATCAAGGTGCCAGCAGATTTGGTATCAGATGAGAACCTGCTTCTTCACTGACAGGGTCCTCTCCCTGTCCCCTCACATGGCAGAAAGGGAAAACAGCTTTCATGGTTTCTGTGAGAAGGTTACAAATCCCTTTCATGAACACTCCACCCTCGAGACCTCATCTCCCAAGGGCCCCGCCCCCTAATACTATCACCTTGAGGGCCAGTGCTTCAACATATCAGTTCTGGGGGATGCAAACATTTAGCTCATAGAACACCCTTTGCCTATTGTGAGAATCAAATGCAAATGGTCCTTGAAGATCTCAGCAAACCGTCAAAGGCATGCTCATGGAAGGAATTGCTGGTCTTTTCCACAAAGGCAAGCTGAGTTCCAGAACTGTCCACAAAGCTGTGCAGGACATTGTGAGTATTTAACATTTCCTTTCCTTTGCCTCAGATCCAAGATGACCACAAATTGTTCCAACAAGGCATGTAAAAGCACTACTTAAGATGGGACCAGCCAGGCCAGCCTCTCCTCTGTTCCATCCACAGACCAGACCCAAGCAATTTTATCTTAAGTGCTGCCTAGTAATACATCAAAATCAAAGGCAGATTTACAAACACTCTGAAGACACCAGTCAGGCACCCCATAAAGATACTGTGAAATGGAGACTGTGTCTCTTTGATAGGTTCCAAGTCTCTATGCTGCCCTCAAATGTTTTCTCCCCACACATTTTTTCAATAAACCATTGATAGGAAACTGGACATTCTCTGAAGTGAGAGGTGTCCTTAGAGTGGCTCTTGACAAGTCCTACTTCTGAGAACCCACGCAGGGTGTCTAAAGCCAGCATCCGCTCCGGTCAGCACCATGTCCTGGCATTCGGGCATTTAGCTTCCCCAGCTGATTGCATTGATCAGGTTTGCTTTAGGCTGGCTCCACAACAGGCAAACACTTGTAGGAGGCAGAAGGTGGGAGCTGATGGGGTTGGTTCCCTGCCCACATCCCCAAGGCCCTCACCATTCTAGTCCCCATAATCGAGGACATGCACCTCCCCAAAAGAGCTGCCTCCCTGCCCATTGAGACAGGCTAGAAATGCCAGGGAGCCAACACTCCCAGGAACTGCCCGTGGACAATGACAGACAGGACTTAGTGGTGAGTAGTCATGCCGGCCTCCTCAGTCCAGGAGCAGGCACAGCTAACCCTGCAGCATGTTGCGTACTGTTTCCTAGAGCCCTCCCATGGGGTTCAGCCCCAGTCGCCTGCAGCGGAAACCTGCTCCCCAGCATCCCAGGCACCTGCAGTGGAGCCTGCTCACCTGCACCCCGTATTGGCTTGACCCCTTCCGTGTCTCACTTCCCCACTTCCCTGATGATGCATCCTGGGCCCGCCTTTGGAAAAAGCACTTCCTTCAAATCCTTGTTTCAAGACGGCTTCTAAAGTTCTCTTAACAAGACAGAAACAAAGTTTTGGGGATAAGAAGTAACTTCTGAAGCTGTTTTCTCTCCTACAATTAGTGATACAAAGTTATCTTGTTTTAGGGGCCTTCTGCCCCTTAAATCACCATTGGTGACCTGGACCCAGAAGCCTCCATAAGAATCCTCTTGTGGTGATCACTCTTAGCTCCATCTGAAAACTGACTGAGAAGGTTCATTGAGGCTCACTGTTAATCCCAGAGCATGGCCTCTGGGCACATGGAGGGCGGAATGAAAGCATGATGGCTCGCACTGCAGTCTCTGTACTAAGGGGGAGTTTAAGGGCAAATTGAGAGAATGAGAAGGGCCAATGGAGTTGCTTTGCTCGTCAGAGGTGTGTCATCCTGTGCCACCTCTAATAAGGCTGTCATCATCACTGGCACAAAGAGATCTGGGCCCAGGACCAGGGACCAAGGCCACCTTGCTCATCACGGGGTTCCCAGTGCTACACAGAGAAGATGCTCAAAGCAGTCTGTGTTAAGCACTGCGCAGAAAGCAAGGCCACAGCTGCAGCAGGACTGATTTGGCTGCTCAAGATAAAACGAACCATTTTCAGAT